AAATGAGTTTAATAACTTTTAAAAGGAGATGTATGATCTATTAGTCATTTGCATTTTATGTATTATTAAAGTTGAGTTAACAAAGATTCGCCAGCTAAAGAAGTTAACAATTTTAAAAACTTGTGGACTGAATTTTTATTATGTTGATGTCTTTGTAACATTCAAAAGTGTCTTGAAGTTATGTAAGTTATAATTACTTGATTTGCTACGTCTTGTCAGACAATATACTATTTTGAAATGACGTGTTTCTTTTTCTACTTTCGGCTCCCTGGGTTGAAGTCCTAGTGAATTTTAGTGGCATAGAGCTATAATAAGGAACACTCCCTAATTAACCAACTTTTTTTTCCATAGTTCATAGCTTTAATAAGATATAAGTATTCGATAAAATTAGACTTCAAAGCTAAAAAATTGGTACAATGGCCAAAAAGATGATTTACTGGTAATCAGTTGGGGCTCTTATTCTGTTAATGATACTTTAGATAGGATTTTGTGCTTTGCTTCTAGTTGGGCAAAACCATAATGGATTCTTTTGGGGTTCCTCTTTCTATTGTTGCAGGGGACTGAGTTGTGAATTTGTATTGACATTTTTGCTTAATTTCTCTTTGTTGTTATCTTTTGTATATTTTTAAAAAATTGTCAAAATGCATTTTGAAATTTAGTGAAAGATATTTTGGCCTAAGAGGTTAGTCAAATAAATTTCTTACTTATTACTTGAAGCCACAAGGAAAAAAGAATGCCTCATTTGTCACTAGTTTTTTATTTTCGTTTTAAAAAACTCGAGGTAATCTGGCCTTAAATCATTTTGAAAGTGCAGTGAAACTCCTTGGATTTCCTTTTTTCTTATCAAAACTAGCTTAAAACTGGTTTACCAACAATATAAGCCAATTCAAACACTTGGTATACTGCAAAAACGTACGACTCATTGAACAGTTAGTTATTTTAGCAACGTAAAGTTGTTCATGTTCAACTTATAATCATGCTCATCAATGGTTTCACCGCTTAATTGTAGATATCCTTGACCTTACGGTGAATATTACAGTAAATGTCAATGACGCAAAAAGAAAATGTGGTTTTGTTGCAGGTCTCAAAGATGGGGGGCAGGAACTCTTCATCTTCATACTCAAGGCCTGATGGAAAATCAAAAGAGAAATGTACAGTGATGTGAGGTCTGCATGTAAACGATCTGGAAGTTTGTGCTGTGTAAATGGTTGGTGTACTCTGGCCCAATTGGATTTTACTTCAATAAACCCTATTAACCCATCTCTCACACTTGAGAATCAGATCAGGAATTTTTTTTCTTTCAAAAGGTTAACTATATATAATATGTAGGTAGATAATAGATTCTCCTGAGTTTTACATAGTTGCAGGGGGAATAGTAGCTTTCATCTCTAAATTGTTTGCTAAGACAGGAGGGGAGAATAGGAAAGTGATAGAGTTACTTTTCGGCCATAATGGCTTTTAGTTACGGAAGTGAATAATTTTGCGTAGCGTGTGGTCCTGCCCTATCTAAAGAGTTGATTATATCATCGAGCCCATCAAAGTCCTAATGCACACATGCACTTGAAAAGTCGTGAACATGGTTTAACAAAATTAGAGGGGCAGGTGATGTTGATATGGCATCTGATCTAAGTAGGTTCAATATCATTTAAAACCTTAGGAAGTGTCAGCGTCTATCCTCAAAGGTCGGGAATCATCTGGGTTCTCTTGCATCTTTTAGCTGACTCCCTACTGACTCGGCTTTAGAGGTAACTTTTGTGGTGAAGCGGACCGGACTGGACCGGAACGTGATGACCTCCTACTGAAATGGGAAACCATCATAACATTGAAAAAGAAGAAGAAAATTTAAATGCAAGTTCTTGAAATCAGTTTGATTGACCATGAAAGCACAAAAGTTTTGATGAATTTTGAATATGTCAATAAAATTGACCCATTTCAAGAATACTAATATGTCCTCTTCCTTATTTTTAGCTTGGGGTGGGGGGTGGTTTGCTATAGTCTTCTTTTATTTGGTCTCATTTTGCACATTAATTAATGAATGAAGAAATAATATGTACCTACCTTATTATATGAAAAATCCTCAAGACTTATATACCGTGTTGATTATAATAATTTTGGTTATTAAACATTTAGAAATTGAGGACGTTCTTCTATTTTCTTTCTAATTTTAGTTAGAATATTATAATAATAAATACGATTTACCTTATAGCTGCTAAGTTTACCTGTTAAATAATATTTTTACATTAGATTCATTATAGTATTTTTCCTACTTAATAATACTTTATTCACGTTATAAAAATTTTATGAGTAAAAACATATAAATTATTAATTAAACAATTTAATAAAAAGAATTACTATAAAATTATTACATACAATTAACTGGTAAAAAATGATCTTCATACATATCCGGATCTCTTTAAACTCAGCTTTATCTTGCGTGACAAGAGAAAACGACAAAAGTTAGGGTTGGAATAAAAAGTCAGCTTTTGATTGGTCTTTCCTGTTAATACAGTTAAAAGTCACCCGTCACCTAAGCCTTTCTACCTCATAATTCCTTTCCTCCTATTTGTTGAATCATTCTTTATATTCCATCCACTAATAACTATTTCTTTTTAAAATAAATATTCTTTTTTATTTTTATTTTTATAATATTAAAAAAAATAGTAAATTTTGATTAATAAATTATTTTCTGAATCTTATAAATTCAATTCAAATTTTTTTTATAATTATTTTACAATATTAATTCAATAACTATTATTCAACTTCACATATGGTAGCATGCTGCCAAGCTGCAAGGACCATGACCTATAATGGCATTTATTAGTGGCCCTAACTGCCCACTAATCTTAAATTAATTTTTAATAAGAAAAATCTAATCCCCTTTTTTGCATTGCAGGAGCTGTATATGACTCAGCACCGAGTATGAGACACTTCAATTATTTATCATTACATGATTATTATACATAGTTTAATATCTTTTTATCAGACTAAGTAACTTGAATTTTGGCTCATGTTGGGTTTATTCGTATACCCATATATATATATATATATATATATATTATTTTCTGAAAGTTATTCCAATTGATTACAACTAAATCGATTATTTTCTGAAAGTTATAATTTAATTTCTGCATGATAACTATATTTACTAATTCTAATTCAGTTTCTTTATAAACATTAACTAATAACTAAAATATATGTCACGTGACAATAATGAATATTAGACAAATGAGACACAATTATAGTGTAATCTTTTAAGATTTTAACATTTGCTTTTATTTTTTAAGTTATCTTAAACATTAATATTTTAAAATTAACAAAAATTAAATTGAAGCAGTATCATGAGTATTAAAATGACATTTTACAAATAAAAAACATATAAGACAAACTTTTAAAATTTAAAAAAAAAAACAAAAAAAGAAAAACCTAGCAATAGAATTTAAAAAAAAAAAACTAATTGAAGCTAAGGTTTTTGCCTTAGTATAAGAATAAATGTATTTAAAAATTAATTATAGGAGGATACATGTATATATATATATATATATATAGACTACATATATGGGGGTTGGTGACGGTGACCCGCACCATATAATCTCCTGCTTTTCGTATGTATATATTTAGAGAGGGACCACCACCCTCCCTCATTTATATGCACATACATATATAATTGGAAAATGAAAAAAAAAAAAATAGTAAAAGGGACCAGGGTTCTACAGTCGCAATCTTAGGTGGGGAAGAAGAAGAAGAAGAAGACGACAGAGCTACAGCCATGACACTTACCCCACTCCTACTACCCTTGGGATTTACGTAATTTTACTTATTTCACCACGTGCTTCTTTCTTTCTTTTCCCACAACACCCAATACTAATCTCGCGTGTATATATATATATATATACATACATACATATAATATAATTATATTTATATGTTGTTGATGGTATTGTGTTTTTGGTTTTAGGGTAAAATAGGTGTCTTTTCTTTTATAGACTTTTGTTGTTTCCTTGCTTACTTTCAACTCTATTACAACTCTCCACCAATTGTTTCCTCTCCCGTTGGACCCACCACCACCAACAATAATATTTAATAAATTAAAAGGAAAAAGGTTTAAAAAAGGAAAAGAGCATAAAATAAAATAAAAATATATATATATATATATATATATGTAAGGAGGGTGGAAGCTGACACCTCAACTGGCTAACAAAAATAAATTATTATTATTATTTTTAGGTCGATAGATAATTGTTTATCATTCTTAATTAAAAAAAAAAATAAATAAAACTATATGTATATACATATATATTTGGTGTCTATTGGGTGCTCCAAATGAAATGTACCTTTTGCAAAAAGTCAGCAAAGCTTTTCTACAGTATCTACCAATAAGAAAACAGGATTATCAATTTTAATTAAATATATATGTATATATATAAATGACAAGGACTGCCCATTTCATACAAAAATTTAATTAAAATTTTGTATTATTATGTAAATTATATATTGAATTAATAAAATATAATAATAATTTTTATGTTATATGTACATGGGCAGTACCTAAAAATCAAATCCCATCACAAAAATATTTTTTTAAAATAGGAGGATAATTACAAAAAGACAAATTGCCTATCATTTCTTTCATTTAAGGGATAATCCAAACCCTTATAAGAACAATTTTTAAAATATTACATTTTTTTTTTTTGGGGGTTGTAATTATGGTATTTATAATAATAAAAAAAAAAAAGTTGCTGAATTTTTTTGGATATATACAGAGAAAAAGCTAAAAGTAATTTAAGTTATGATAATCCAAAGATTAATAGACTTGTGTCCTGATCATGATCTCACCATCCACTTCCTTTTAAGTTTATGTTGAAATATAATTAATCCCAAATAATAAATAAATAAAACAAAAAGTAATGAATTAATAATTGTCAGGCCTTTTTTTTTTTATTTTATCATACTCTTCTTTCGTTGTAATGATTCCACACCAGCTTCTTTTATCCTTCTCTTTCTCTCTCTCTCTCTCTCTCTCTCTCTCTCTCTCTCCCTGCTCTGTTTATTTGCTCAAAGGATTTCAAGAGAAAACAACATATATATGTATATGTATATATATATATATACCTTGAAATCCTCCCACTCTTTCTCTTTCTCTCTCTAGCTCGCACACTCTCATAAACACACAAACCCTCCTCTTTCATGCTTTTTCTTTTTCTTTCTCTGCCTCTCTAAAACCTCTGCATATTACAGAATCGTTGCAGAAAGTTTTTTGTCTCAGATCCCGATATATTATTATCATCATTATTATTAACCCTTTGGCTCTCTCTCTCTCTCTCTCTCTCTGTTTCTTTTTGACGCCATTAACGAGGAAAAACCATCTTGTTTTTCCTCCCTCCTCATTTAACGTCGTCAAAAGCCCATAAGGGTCTCTTTCACTCTCCTCGAAACTCCAATTCTTTATACATAAACAATTAACCATTCAATTCTTTTCCTTTGTCTTTCTCTTTGATTCTTGTTTGTGTACGTATAAGCTCTCTTTTGTTTCTATCTCCTCACCTTCATTCTGAGCATAAAGGTTTTAGCTTTATAGGAGATGCAAGAGGCGGGTTTAGGCATGATGGGTAGTACCAGTAGTGGTGTCGGCGGTGGAGGTGAACTTTCCGGCGGTGACCAGAACCGGCAACTGAAGGCGGAGATAGGGACACACCCTCTGTACGAGCAGCTCCTAGCGGCACACGTCTCGTGTCTCCGCGTTGCCACACCGATCGATCAGCTACCTCTGATTGATGCTCAGTTGTCGCAGTCTCATCACCATCTCAGATCCTATGCTTCGCAGCACCACCACCACTCGTTACCTCCCCATGAAAGGCAAGAACTTGATGAGTTTTTGGTAGGTTAAATTTGATTTTGTTTATTGGGTATTAGTTTTTTTTCCTTATTTTCTTGTTTATAATTTGAAATTGGTGTACTGATTAATTTCAGGCTCAGTACTTGATAGTTTTATGTACGTTCAAAGAACAGCTTCAACAGCATGTCAGAGTTCATGCCGTCGAAGCTGTCATGGCTTGCCGGGAAATTGAAAATAATCTACATGCTCTAACTGGTTTGTCCTCCTCCTCAATCAATCTCGTACATGTTTGGATGAATATCTGCTTTTCATTTCTAGGATGATGAATATATTATATACATATATGTTGAATTTGTTTCGGGGAGTTTGGTAAAATGGGTAATAAATAGTAGTGTTGTTGGTGGGGGGAGAAAAATAAGGGAGGTGATTTGGGGATTTTGAAATTGCAAGTTAATGAGGATATGGTGGGTGGAGACAATAGGGTCCTACACAAACACATAATCAGATTTATATTAATTTGCAGGTGGGTTAGTTAGTAACCCCAATGGCAAATCATATAAGTTTTTGAAATAATTGGATTGTAGAGATCAACTTTGTTTTTTGGCATTCTCAATTTATTGCTACATGATTGAGTTTGGTGGTGTAGATTAATTATATGGATGAAGCATCATCTCCTTAATCATAAAATTAGAAAATATTTACATTAATTAGTGATACTTATAACCCTTAATTTATTTTTTAAAATTTTTAATCCTTATATTTATTGATGTATTTGAAGTTGTTAATTTCTATATGTTCATTTATTTAACATAAATTTTTATATTTTATTAATTAAATGATAACATGCATATTAATAATAACAAATTCTCTAATAAAAACATTCTAATAATCTAGCGATAATAAGAACACACAAAGTACATAATTCAAGACTTAAAACCAATCCATCACAAAAGTCGGAACTCTACATCTGAATTACGAAGATATTTACGAATCTCATTCAACAAAAAACTGGTATGAAAATACCCTAATCGCTAACAAAGAAAGACTTACAACCAACGGTAAATACATAAGTATAAGTGTATAAACAGACATTAGAAAATATAAAGATAAAGAGTTCGAAGTGTAATAAAGGAAATTTTCTCTTGAACTTCGACTTCCATTAATTCGTTTTATATCTCCCAAATCATCAATTCAACCAGACTAGGTACTTTGTAATGGTTGAATTCTATGTTGTAATTAAGGTGGTGATTCTAGAGAAGTGTTTTTGTAAAGTTATTCCGATGCTTTGCAGATCAAAACTCATCATCTGCATGGTTCTTCCAAATGATCTTCTAGCGTTTGCTGAACATGCATGCTTTTTACACATATACACACATATATATTTGTATATGACCAACGGAATTTCATCTATACATAAACTTCCATGCATCCATGCACGTCCATGTTCAAATTGCAGAGAAAACTAATAATTAACCAGATGATAGAAAAATTTATATTGAACAGATCTGTATTTTCCTTATTTATTACCTCTCTTGGGTATGAAGGTATAATCAAATTTTTATAAACATGGTTATTTGTTTTCATCTATATATATATATATATAAGATTAATAAAGTCTTAACCTAAATGATGATGGTCCTGTATTAGGATCATAACATGTGATTCAGCATCAATAGTCCACCAACATGTCCCTTACATGTATGTTATGCACAGGAGCATCCATTTCATAATAGAGGATTTTACTAATCATGTCATGTATGTATACATGCATATATATATATATATATATATGTCGTTTTCACATATGGGATATTTGGAATTCAGAAACCATGATTAGTTTAATAATAACCTTTTGAAATTTGTCTTACAAAAATTAAAGATGGGAAAGCATATATCATAGACTTATCCAAACATTAAGGGTTTTAGATAGTTCTAAGAAAAATTAGCCCCTGAATGATCTATGAATATATATTTTTATCTTTAAACTGTGTTTGTACGTACATCAAAATATTATCATGTGAAGTTTCAATGTTTTTTAAAAAATTATTTTATTCATATTTTTGAGTATCAAGCAACTATATATGTTTCCTTTTCAAAAATAAAGAAATAGATTATTAAGGCTACCATATATCATTTTATGCATTTAAGTAAATTTAATAAATATATATACATAAGTTCATAATTGCTCTTATTTGATTGGACGGTTAGATACAGTTACTTTTATGGAAGCAATATAAGTTCAAGTTCTAATTGAAATGATTTTTCGATAAAGTAGAAAAAAAATCAGCGTATGGCCACAACAAAGTGGTTTAACCTCGAAGACTAGAAGAAGAAACCTCACTTTAGTAGACATGGATGGAGCACCATCTGCCCTTGCAGGAGAAAAACATTGAAGCGTTTTCTTTTTTCAGTAAAAATTCTTTCCATGTTAACCTCCTTTGATTATTGGCACTTATAGGAAGTAGGTATATTTGCATCTTGAGCTGCAACTTAATCAACTGGTTATGAAATACCATTAGCTCTTATGTGTTTTATTAATATCTCTATATGTGAATCATTTGAAACATAAACTTTTCTTTTTCCTGTTGCTTTTTGAATATGAATAGAGAAGAGAGGAAGAGGATAGATTCATTACATTAAAAAAAAAAACATGGGAATGAAACTCCCATAAGAAATTCTAAAGTAATTGAGAATGAGAGTCAAATAAATCGAAAGATTCATGTTTGGTTCGAGAGAGACACTCTTATCAATTCTCGGCTAATTCTAAAAGATCCTCAGTCAATGTTCTTTCTGCTCCTGTGTGAAAGTTAGGGTTGAATGAATAGAATCATAGTTCTACTCATACCCAGTTCAAAGAATGAGGGTAATGTAGCCAGGTGAAGTTTTTAATAGAAGTAACAATAAAATTTTCTTCAAGTTTTAATTCAATGCTGTTAAATATAAATTACAGATGGTAAAGAGGATATATAGTCTAGGCAAACAGTGCGTTCAAACAAATTACGAAGTATGGTCCAATTAACAAGTAGTACAGTACAGTAAGTATGTGTATTTGTATATACTGCATAGATGAAAGCAGTTGTAGTGTAAACTTGTTGATCACCTTTTTCAAATGTATGTACGTGTGTTTGTGTATATATATACTGCATGATAATGTTCAAGGAGAGAAAGTTTGAAATATGTATACATTCAGGAGTGGGTTTGGGTGAAGGAAGTGGTGCAACAATGTCAGATGATGAAGAGGAAGTACAGATGGATTTCTCATTGGATCAATCAGGAGGTGATGGACATGATTTGATGGGTTTTGGTCCTCTGCTCCCAACAGAATCTGAAAGGTCTCTAATGGAGAGAGTCAGACAAGAACTCAAGATTGAACTCAAACAGGTAATTAATAACACTCTTCAATCCCTTAATTCTTCACCTGCTCCCACTCTTTCAACCTACAATTTTACTTCCATTATCATGGTTTTGCATATGTATTTCCCTTTTCAGGGTTTCAAATCAAAAATTGAAGATGTTAGGGAGGAGATTCTGAGAAAAAGAAGAGCTGGAAAATTACCAGGAGACACAACAACAGTGCTCAAAAACTGGTGGCAGCAACACTCGAAATGGCCCTATCCAACTGTAAGCAACCCATGTACATATATATTGATATACTTGGTCTACATATATATATATATATATATATGATATATATTTTCATATGGGTGGTGGATGGATTTTGAAAAATTAAAAAAAAAAAAAAAAAAAAAACAAATTACAGGAAGATGACAAAGCAAAACTAGTGGAGGAGACAGGGTTGCAGCTGAAGCAAATAAATAACTGGTTCATCAACCAAAGGAAACGCAACTGGCATAGCAACTCCAATTCTGTAACCTCTTTGAAGTCAAAGCGCAAGAGGTAGAGCTCCATGTCACCATGTCCACGTATATATATGTATATCATGTGGGCGTGTATATACTTGTTCAGGCTAACTTTTCATCAAGTGATTTCAAAGCTGAAAATTAGATGATTGCCAAAGCAGTTGGCAGCAGGATATAGGATTTTTCATAGATATATGTATCTGGGTACATACATATATCAGTAATTAGCAGATTGACATTCCTAAGTTGCAAGTATAAACCCTTTGAGCACTTAATTTGGGTCCCCTTAACCGGCCCTGTAATGCAAACAATTTTTGTTCAAATTTGATTAAAATTATATCATTTGGTTTTTATAGTTAAGCATGATTACAGTCAAATTCGATTATATGATAACGTTACGGAATTAAAAATCTTTAAAAATAATTATTTATTATTTCGCTATCTCTACGGTCAATAAAATACAATGATGATTCAAAAATAAGTTTCATTTGTTTAAGTTTTATATTATTTATTAAAATTATGTTTATACAAAAAGAATTTAAACATAAAAAATTATATTTTAAAAATTTAAATTTAAATTATTAATAACTAATAATTTACATCTTTATATAAAATTTAATAATTCCATATTTTTTTAATATTATATTGAAGTATCATATTTTAAATAATAAAAAATTTAAAATGATTGACTTGAGGTGACATCATGACAGAAAGAGTAATAATGTAATATCTAGATCCAAAATTTAGATCGGAATTAATTTTTAAAAAATAAAAATAAAAATAAATATATAATTTTTAATTTTTAATTTTATAAATTTTTATTTAATATTAAATTAAGAAAAAAATAGGAGGATGATGAAATTGAAAATAAATTTGAGAGAAATTGGTGAAAATTTGGGTTCGGGGCATATTTTTAAAAGAAAAATAAAAAAATTAGAGGTCAAAACGCAAATTAAGAAAAATGTGTCACATAAGATTGCCCAATTAGTAGCTCCGACGAAGCAGATCATGCCGCATGACAAGATACGCTGATGCGGTGCCACACGAGAGGCCACGCTAGCAGTCCGCGTGCCCGCGATCAGACGATCTAGATTTATTCCCTCCCGAGTGGACGGTCTGGATCCGTTCCCTCCTCAGGCGCGATCGGACTGTCGTGATTAAACGCGATGAACAATCCAGATTTATTTTCTCGTTAAACGCAATCATATGGTTTAAATTAAATCGCAATGAACTGTTCAGATTCATTTTCTCTTTAAATGCAATCGGACGATCGAGATCAAACCCGATGAACAACTCAAATTAAAAAGAGACGGATATAAATACATCACTTTATACCGAACCCTAACCCTAGCTGCCAAACCCCCCGCCGGAGAAACGAGTTGACCGCCGCCCGTCGCCGCGTCGGAGCCACCTCCGATCTCTAAAAAAGGTAAAAAAAAAATTTATTTGCTCGAAATTTGATTTTGAACACCCCTATGGCCAAATCGGAGCAAAAGGACCGGCGAATAAGCTGAAAACTGCGGGTAAAGTTCGGTGACGCGACCACGGAAAAAATCAAAAATCGCATCCGATGAGTCCTTTTCCAATTTCTGTTTCGTGCAATTTTTCACTATTGTAATCACCATCCTATTTTCAACAATTTGACGGAAGAAAAACGTCCAATCTCGAAGGTGAGCTAGCGGAGCCACCGCACTGAAAATTTTCGTCACTGATGAGTCTTTATTTTTTGACCTTTTTTAGGCTAATTGAAGCCCCTTAATGTGTTTTCTTACAGGAATGAGCATAAAATCGGCCTAAATCGGTCAAAATTGGCTAAAAACAACCAGTACAAGACAAATCGCGGTTGCGGGTAGTGGTGCCATCGCCGGAGCACGGCAACGACACTGTGCCGGAATTTCAAAATTGGCCAGAAAAAATTTTTAACACCGATTTTTAATTTTTTTGGGGTATTTTAATCTTCGAAGAAAAATTCAAAAAATCCGGGGACCAATAGTAGGTGCAGCAGAAAGTTTAGTGTTTCAGATACTGATTTAGGTAAAAATTCTTCACCTTATTCCCTGTTATGGAATTGGAGTCTAATTATAAATAATATGATATTTTACGAAATTTAGAAAACTTTGATAATTAATTACGAGTTATTAATGGAGACAGAACCGGTTATTATTTACTGTTTGTCCTGTTTTAACTGATTTATTGGTTTTACAGTTTTAAATGCATAATAATACACTAGAGTTGGTAAGATGATTCAATTGTGTTTTCTTGATACATGTATGATTTGTTTTGCGTGATTTACAGTTAAATTGTGAAATTAAAAATTAAATATAAACGGAAAACTGCTTGATTAAGTGAATAAATGAATGGTATGCTTACTAGATATCTTGAAAGATAGTGGACGGACCGGGTACATAGGGAACCCTGCCGTGAAAGTTGCCTCATATCGGACGGGATATCGAAAATTAGTATTTTGACGCTCATACCGGACATAGTATGTGGACGACTCATTTCACTCTCATACCGGACGAGGTATTGAGGGATGATATTTTTTGCGCTTATACCGAACGGGGTGTGGAGACGACCAGTTAGTTGACAATGTTGAATTAGGGTTCATGTATAGTGAGGACATCCCTATAGACCCGCATAGTTATCGGTATACCGATAAAAAAAGAAAGTTGTTGTTCTGCCTAATTGAAAATGAGATTATGATGTTGTTTGTGTTATTACCTTTATAGGTCGGTTTTGAAAATCTCGTTACGGTAAGTATGCAATAAATAATTTTATTTATGATAAATGAATTTACTTAAATTAAGATGTTCATTAGTTGTTTTTATGATTTTTACAAACTTTTATTTCTGTATCGGTGAGTAGTGTGATATTTTTATTGAGTTAGTGTAGCTCACTCATTCATTAACAATTTCAGATCAAGATAACCAAGATCCAGATATCGATCCACAAGAGGGTTGCGAATAGGATGCTTAGTTATTTACTTTTTATTTATTTATTTGATTTTTTCTTTGTTCTTTTAGAATGGTTATTTTTGTAACACTAGTGATTATTTTTAATTATTGTGTAAAGAATGTAAATCGTAACTTTATTATTTCGTTTCTGCATTCAATTTATAATTCATTTTTCTTTTATATTCTGGGTCGTTTCAAATAATATGATCGTTTGAGAGCTTATGACATGCAGAATAATATATAAAATTTTTAATCAATTATTGTTACTATGAATAAAAATATTTAATTATTATTACATAATTTTTTCAAACTTAATAAATAATTAAAATTTTGATTCTACTAAATAAAAAATTAGATATCAGTTATTATCACATCACTTATAATTTAAATTTTATATTTTTAATAAGATTCGAACTTATAATTTTAAAATAAAATAATAAAAATACATGCAATCTGTATACATGTGAATCGTCAGAAGAAAACATATGCTAGTTTTAACTATCAGTTGTCTCGTATACAGTCCACATCAATTGTATTATCATATTGACTAAAAGTCAACACAACAAATTATAAGTTGGAACTTTTATCAATTTATAATAATTCACAAAAATATTTGTTATTTAAATAAATCTATCCAAACATTTAATTTATAAAACAAAAGCATGTTTTTTACTTATTACTTCACCCTCTAACTTTTTAAAACATGTAATTGAGAACTTAATTTTATAGATGTTATAATCTGTTTATGTAATTTTGTTTTAATCTTAATTATATAAACCCACTGTTATTTTTAAGACAAAAAAAAAAAAAAAAAAAACAAGATTTTAGTAACGGTTCAAATGAGAGTTGAAACCAGGGTGGCGATCCATTCTGTCAGATTTCTTGCCTGGCGGCTAATTTCAGACGATTGATTGGTCTTCTTATTTTCTTTTCTGACGTTACAACGAAGAAAACTCCTTCCGGTTCCATTAGAAAATATTGCACAACGGAACTTTCAAAGAAACTCTCTCTGGTCGCCTGCTCTATTTGTTGAATAAACATTTAATACTTCCCAACTTCCTTATCTCTTTTTCTTTTCATTGTTTTGTTTTTATTATTATATTTATTTTTTGTGATGGGTAGTTCTGCTGAATCTGAATTTTCTTCTTCTTTCTATTCGTTCAAAGATTTCCTGCAATTTTTCGGTGTATTATATTTGTGTTTTACAGGCCCACCTTCTTCTTTCTTCCTGCTTCCGTTTACCCTTTCAACGCATACTTTTCTATCCTGCATATTATACCCAGAATCCTCAATTTTGCACCATTGATTTTCTTCAGAATACCCACCTGGGTTTTTGTCTTCTTCATATTTTTGGAGCCGCCCAGGTTCGTTTCAGTCACATTTCTTCTGGTGCTCACCAACTGTTTGATTCTGTGTCTAAGCCCTCTCGGCACTTGTCAATTTGTGGTTCTGCCTGCTGTTTTTGTTTTCTCAAAACCTCTTGGCTCTCGTCTGGCTTATTCATATTTATTTCAACCAGTTATCAGTTTGATATGGAAGAGTAAGGGTGAATCCCGCTATATAAGATTGTCTTGAGTATTTATTGGCTGCTATGGCGGATGCCGTTTATGCTGAACGTTTGTCTTTTGGAGGTTCTCATCATGGTCAGGGCCAACAAGTTGTGCCATTTCCAACCAATAAAGGATCCTTGAAAGTTTTACTCTTACATGGAAATTTAGACATTTGGGTCCAGGAGGCTAAAAATCTCCCTAATATGGATATGTTTCACAAGAAATTAGGTGATATGTTAGGGGTGTTCAATGTGAAGATTAGCAGTAAAATTGAAGACCATATGTCTCATAAGATAACCAGTGATCCCTATGTTACAGTTTCAGTTTCTGGTGCTGTAATTGGGAGAACTTTTGTGATTAGTAATAGCGAGAATCCAGTCTGGATGCAGCATTTTAATGTTCCCGTTGCCCATTATGCTGCGGAAGTGCAGTTTGTTGTGAAAGATAGTGATATTGTAGGGTCGCAGCTTATTGGTGCTGTTGGGATTCCAGTGGAGGAATTATACTCTGCCACAAAGGTTGAAGGAAGCTTCCCTGTCCTTAACGCCAGTGGGAAGCCCTGTAAAGAAGGAGCTGCATTGAGTTTATCAATTAAGTACACACCAACAGAGAGAATAAGCCTTTATCATATGGGAGTAGGCTCAGGTGCAGATTACCATGGAGTCCCAGGTACATACTTCCCTCTCAGGAAAGGTGGTAAAGTTACACTTTATCAGGATGCACATGCGCCTGATGGTTTATTGCCAAAAATGAGGCTTGAGGGTGGTATTCTGTACAAGCAAGCAAGTTGTTGGGAGCATATTTTTAATGCTATAAGTCAGGCTCGTCGCTTGATTTACATTACTGGCTGGTCTGTTTATCATAAGGTTAAATTGGTCCGAGGCAGTAACAATCCAGAAGATTGCACATTAGGGGATCTTCTGAAAACCAAGTCACAAGAAGGTGTAAGGGTGCTACTTCTGGTATGGGATGATCCAACTTCTAAGAGCATTTTCGGATATAAAACGGTAAGGAGCTTAGGTATCTTTTTTTACGTACTATGCTTTGTTTTCCACCTTTATGCAGCCTAATTTGGAACCCCTTTATTACCTTGTTTGCTTTGCTGTTTATTTGCTTGTTTTCCTATTCTTACATTTTCAAGTCAGCTACACTAATTTTGGAACTTGCTTCCGTTTTGTTTATATTTCCCTCTAGAAGTCTCAGTTTAGAAACTTATATGCAGCACTTGCACCAGATTATACTAATAAATAAATTTCTCGTTGTTGGAGAGTCTTGTTAATGTGATTACTAGTGGTAGGTTTGATTTCCTTCCTTCTGTTAAAAAATAGGCAACAAAGTGGTATCAGGTTTAAGGTAGGGGCAGGAAGCTTCTTGGTCCTATTTCTAAAGCAACCAGTTAAGAAATGGCAAAATTTAACCTTCATTGTGGAGAATTACTCTTTATTCTTAGTTTTATGCTTTCTTTTTCCCTTTTATCTGTCCAAGGCCAGTGTGAAAGATAATATCTTCTTGTCTAATAAAATGAAGGCATCCTTGTGCTTGATTCCCATCAGGAAATATACTAATATAAGGAACATGTGGATTTTATTTCCCCTTTAAGTATTCCATACGCAGATGGCTCTAACAATTCTTTACTTGTTTTCTTCACATAGAGAATTTGGTAAATTGCTGAATTAATGAACTCATTCACTTATTACCGATGAGTTTTTGACTGAGTATGGAATTTTTTTTCCCTATCCCAGGGCTCAAGACAAGGATTAAAAAATAATATATATAGATACTGGAACATTATTACCAATGAAACATGGGCATCATAAATGTTCTTGTGAAGCTTCATGATGTCCTGTTAGTATCATAGTCCATGTCCATGCACTGCATTTTCTATAAGCTCTGCACTTTAGTCTTTATTTTCATTTTTTTCTTCCTTCTAAGGCATATAGAAGCAGCAAGGTGAACTAGAATTCAAGTAACTGAGTCAAAGTAGGTTGGCCAAGCATTGTAGAGTGGCAGTTAGCTTTCCATTTTAAACTTCATTATATATTTATGTTAGTATAATGTTGTTTATTTTCTTTGTGTATATGAATATTGAACTGTCCTTTTTATGTGTATGCAGGAAGGGGTAATGCACACCAGTGATGAGGAGACACGCCATTTTTTCAAGCACTCTTCAGTGCAAGTGCTACTTTGCCCACGATCTGGTGGAAAGGGACATAGTTGGATTAAGAAACAGGTTGGATATAATGTCATGCATATATGCCCATGGATTATCTGCTGTTTTTTTTGGTTGAAAAAAATAAAGGAAACAGAATAAAACTTAGGTTCTTATCTCCAAACATTATTTGATATTATGCATTGCCAAGTCTCTTCAAACTTGATTTGTGAAAGGAAAGAAGAAAAAAAAAAGATAAAAAATTAAATTTATTCATGAAGTCGTAACTGTCCATATTATGATGCTTAAAATTTTCAGTTCTGTCTATGTTTGAATATGACTTATTGCCTAATAATCTCCCAGAAATTTTTAATCTTTTCCAGTAGCTTCCCCTCACCCCAACCCAAAAAAAAAGAAGAATTCTTAATATTGCAGTTATAGACTACAGAAACTTTTAATATTTCTTCTATAACCTAAATTTCTTACTATTTCTATGTAGAATCTCTAGCTGCCTCAAATTTCTTAATATTTCTCCTATAACCCTGAAGTTTTATTTCTTCAGAAACTTTTGGTATTTCTTCTCTAGCGTATATTTCTTAATAATTCTATGTAGAATCTCTCCAGTAGTTGCCTCAAATTTCTTAGTATTCTCCTATAACCCTAAAGTTTTTATTGTTTCTATGTATAATCTCTCCCCTTCAGTTTATTTTTTAATACATTCTTTTAAAGTATAATATGTAACTTGTTTAAAATGTAATGGCACAAATACTAATTGTATGCATAATAAAATAAATAAGAAAGCATAAAAAGTTAATGGAATATGAGATGAAGTAATATATTCAAACTAAAAACTAAGATGAAGAATTACAGTACCAAGCCTCTATCCCCCACCAAGATTTCTAGGTTCCACTGGATATGTCATGAAGAATAAATTACAGTAGATCACTGGGATTTGGATACATTACAATTGGATTTGTAAGTTTCTATAATATTGTAACCTGGTCCTTCCATTAGTATACAGCTATGGAGTTCTTTTTAAACATCCAAGATCCCTTTTTGTGTGAGCTTCTTTATCCACGTCCTTAGTAAAGAGAAACATACTCTTATATCTAATTTGTTGTTAAATTTGTTTGTTATATTTACTCCCTTATACGATTCTTCTTCTCCAGACATTCTGAAGATTTTGCTTTCATTTTTCATTGTTTTGCATTTTACTCTTTTTTACCAATTTCAGGACTCATAGAAGAAGGGAAACTAAATTTTGTCTATTATGAGCATGCCAAATATAACCAATATGTCTCAAGCATCCTTTAATGGATTGCACAAAGTTGACTCAAATATTCGTTAAGGACTGAGTTTTGTGTTTTAGAAAATTGTGAACCTAATTGTGTCAAAACCCAAAAATTAATGTAATTTACCCAATTATCAATGGCTTATATTCTGCTAGGGATCAAGAAGAGAAAAAGTGAAACCTTAGAAATAGGCATCTCCATACCGTTATCATTTTGATTTGAGGTTTTTCCTTGAAAGATTTTGGTGGAAAACATTTGAAATTTCATGAAGGATACTGACATATGATGGTCTATAAAACTGATAATATACAGCCTGCATACCTACTGTGCATTTTGTTGTCTATAAACAGCAAATGCTGAAATTTGAAGATAAGATGGTTGAAAGTAAGATACATTTCCTATCTCATGAAATGTATCGTGACTGTTTAAGCTTCTTATATGTATTCTGTGCTGAAATGTTGCAAAATGTGACTATATTTCTAAATGCTCTGTTATTTTATTCTAGGCGGAGACTTCTCTCAGTCACAGTTTCAGATGCTAGACTAAAGTTTCTTTATTTTGTCTTTAGATTGGTGTCATTTACTCGCATCTCATTTCCTCTTTAATGAACATGCACATGTTATTTCCATACAATATTGTGAACTAAAAGTCTAAAACCTATTTCATCTTTTGGTTATCAGGAAGTAGGAACAATCTATACCCATCATCAGAAAACTGTGATTGTGGATGCTGATGCAGGTAACTACAAGAGAAAGATTATAGCATTTGTTGGCGGTCTTGATTTATGCAATGGGCGTTATGATACTCCAGAACATTCTCTTTTTAGGACTCTGAAAACAGTGCACAAAGAGGACTTCCGTAACCCTAATTTCACGGTAATTATTCAAGAGCTACTTTGAATAGCTTTTTTTTCAGATTTTTGTAGAGCATATTTTAAGCATTGAGGAGAAGTGGTAAATATTTGATCATAACCACTCATTATAGATGTCTCCTTATACATGAGTGTCACTCCCTTTTTAAGGAAATGCTTTTTTTTTTCCTATGTTAAGAAGATGCTGTTTCTGATTTGCGAATCTTGTTCTTCTTGTTTCTTTTACCTCCATGAAACATCTAGCGGGTCTCATGCATATTTTATAAGACTCTTTTAGTGCTATCAAAGCTAAATATGACAATTTACGAAGCCCTTAATGGTATTGGTTATCTGCAACACAACAATATGCAAAAAGTGGAATCCACCAGGACTCAGTAAGGATGAAAGTGGTGGAGGTTGAGCAACAATAAAGAGTTCAAAATTCAGTTATATGTATATTGAGTATCTTTTTATCCATAGTCCTGGACTCATTTTTGTTATAGCCTTTTCAGGAACATGCTGTTGGTTGTCCAAGAGAACCATGGCATGATTTGCACTGCCAAATTGATGGTCCAGCAGCATATGACGTGCTAACCAATTTTGAAGAGCGTTGGTTAAAGGCTTCAAAACCTCGTGGACTTCAAAAGTTAAAGGCATCTTATGATGATTCACTACTTAAGATTGACAGAATTTCTGAAATTATTGGAATGGAAGAAATGTCTTCTTCAAGTGAGGATGATCCAGAGGTTTGGCATATACAGGTCTGTTGGTCGGGTTTGATTTTCCAGTTATTGCTTGTTTCTGCCTCCTATCATTGACTTTTTTATCCATCATTTCCCAATTGAAGGTTTTCCGGTCAATTGATTCCAGCTCAGTGAAAGTGTTTCCAGATAAACCAAAAGATGCAGTAGGCATGGTGAGAAAAATGTTAGCTCTTAGATTTTTGTCCTTAATCCTTGTATGAAAAAGCCCTTTGAATTTGGAGGATCTAATGATGGTTGATTTATTGCTTTTATTTGTTTATAGAACCTCTTATGTGGGAAGAATGTATTCATAGACATGAGCATACATACTGCTTATGTTCACGCAATACGATCTGCCCAACATTACATCTATATTGAGAACCAGTACTTCCTTGGGTCGTCATACAATTGGGATGCGCACAAAGACTTGGGTAAGAATATTTGAACTTAAGGGTATAGAATTGAGAAATCTGATACCATACTATTGAAATTTGTTAGTCCAGTGGCAAATCCAGCTTATCTGCTTCTTAATTGGAAACTTCCAGGATGATATATGAACACAATTCCAGTTGCTTTAATTTCCCTAGAGGTTTCTCTTGTTATCAATCTAGTTGAATGATGTGATGTGATTTCTATTAAATCTTATTGATAGTACATATGTTTACAGATGATTAATCTTCTACAAACCAGTCTTTAGATGAAAGTATCTATGAAAAGAATCCTCAGTTACTTGTACTATCCTAATCCTGACAATCTGCAGTTACATGTATTTTTACACGAGATTCAGAGCTTGATATAATCCCGTATGTACAATCAATTCATGTTTTTTTTTCTAGATTTAAGACTTTTTCTAGAAGTTTTCTAATAATTTTATCAAATAAATTACAATACCCCAGTCATATAATTTATGATGTGCTGAATTCATAAAACTGCTTCTCATTCTGAAATGAAAGTATTCCATTGTTTAATTTGTTTTAGGTTGAGCTTGCTTTAAATTCTGGAATAAAAACGAGAATACAACACAAAATAAGATTGAAATTTGAATGAAAATAATATTCTAATTCCAAATAAATTTTATATTCAACTCAAGTTGAGTATTTTTGTCGTTACTTATTTGCAATGTGGAAATACAAATCTGTGGTTCTAGACCTGAAAATAGGGGTGACTTTTATTAAATTATGGATAAAATAATAAATCTATATATCAAATAATTAAATTATAGGAATAATTGGAAATAGAATAAGGTTGAACTAAATGCATCATTACTTTTATTTTATCACGTGCAAGATATCAACTGTGAAGATATTAGGAGTCGTAATATGTAGAAGTTCAATCATATATCATAATCTGAGTGAGTGCAAAGATGCTCTTTATCTGCAGGTGCAAATAATTTAATACCAATGGAAATTGCTCTTAAAATAGCAAACAAGATCAGAGCAAATGAGAGATTTTCTGCATATATTCTTATCCCAATGTGGCCAGAAGGTGTTCCAACAAGTGCTCCCATTCAGAGGATTCTCTTTTGGCAGGTAAGGTGCATTTACATTCTGAAAATACTTCTGCAAATTAATCACAAGTTATTAATAAATTAAACGTCAGGGCAGAAGTAACTGTAATATAAGAAGTTCTTGCACTCTAATCAGCTTAGGATTCACAGAACTGGCAACTATTATGACATGTTGTTTTAGGTAGTTGGACAAATGTTGTTTTACTCTGCTTGTTCTAATGCATGTGTTGCTTACACATTAATTTACATTTTTCAGAATAAGTGCATTTGTTCTGGAGCAAGACATTGCATCCCACCATATTATGAGGGTTTCCTGCTGCATATTTGTAGAAATATTATGATAAGTTATATTTACTATTACTGCTCACTGTTATTTTATGCTTGTTAGACAACCACGCATCCGTAACAGAATGCTAGATGTCATTTAGGGGAGAAGGTTGTTAATTTGTTTTGTTTTTTCCTTTCTGTTTTGCCTATAAAATGAGGCACAAAACCATTGATGAAATAAGATGAAAATAGGAGTTTTTCCTACTCTCAAAATCTTCATGGTATCAGAGCATACCTGATCCAATTTTTTAGCATCCCTCTTGCATTCAATAAGCAATGGATGAACATATTTCTTCTTCGCCTGAAGTCCTTTTGGGCTCCTATCTTCCGATGCATGACAGCCATATTCTCACTGATTCGGCTCCTTTCATTACTGGCCATCGACTAAATGGCATTAACTATCTACAATTGTCATCCTCGGTGTTAATGTTCATCCGAGTGAAAGACTGGAACGAATACCTAACTGGAGAGCTCTCACCACCTCCTGCGAATGATCCAAATGCTCGGGCATGGAAACATAGAACAATCTTGTTATGTCTTGGTTGGTGAACTCAATGACCATCGAGATTGGAGAAAATTTTCTTCTTTATGAGACTATGCACGATATCTGGGTCGTAGTTTGTGAGTTCTACTCCACTCGTGACAACACTTTCGCCATCTTCAAAGTCGAAGCAAGTCTTCACGACCTGCACCAAGGAGAAATGACAGTAACTCAATATTACAATTTTCTTACCCGAAAATGGCAGCAGCTTGACGTTTTTGAGGAACATGCTTGGAGCTATCCCAAAGACGTTAGGAGATTTCAAAGCATCGTGGAATAGAAACGAATATTCAAGTTTCTTTTCTGATTGAACAAATACTTTGACGAGGCAAGAGAACGCATCCTTGGAACCAAACCTCTCCCGAACATTAGAGAGGTGTTCTTTGAGGTGCGACACGAAGAAAAAGCAGGAAGAAGGTGATGATGGGTGAATCGCAACTCAGCCATAACCTCGCTGAAAGCAGTTCTCTCTCACCCGAGTCTAGTGTAGCTCTCACAAGTGGGGTGATTGAGCGGAAGGAATGGCCATGGTGCGAATACTGTAAAAAACCTGGGCATGTTCGTAGAAGATGCTAGAAGCTTCACGGGAAGCCAGCTGAAAAGAGGTCACCAAAGCAAGAGACTCATCGGGGCAATTTTATCTCAACTGAGGAGGAATCAACTGCAGCCGCTCCTACGGAGTCCTTTATTTAGTCCTGAACAGATCAGCCTCCTTTAGAAAATGTTTTCTCTCAATACGATTCTTGTTAATGCTTCCACAGTTCATAAAGGTAATTTTTCTAGTCTCTCAACTTATTCCTCAAAAAGGGGCATGTGAATTATTGACTCGGGTGTTTCCGACCATATGACTGGGGATATCTCACCATTTAAGGAATACAATAAGTGCAGAGGTAAATTCTCAGTTAAAATGACTCAAGTTCCCAAGTCGAAAGAATATGAATAATTGCACTGTCACCCAAGTTAATTTTGTATTATGTGCTATATGTTCCCAATTTGGATTGTAATCTCCTGTCAACAAGCAAATTATCACATGACTTGAATTGTGTAGTTACATTTAACTCTAAACTGTGTGATTTCCGACTTGGGCTCGGGGAGGACAATTGGCAATGCTAGTATGGATTCAAGTTTTTATTTACTGCAAGCGGACAACTCTCTCTTAGTAGACCAAACTCATCGTGCAATAATGTACTAATTCTGAAACTGTAAATAAGTTAAATAGGAAATGCCCCATCATGTTGTGGCATTACCGTTTAGGACATCATAATTTCTTGTATTTGAAAAAGCTATTTCCTATTTTATTTCGAAATAAAAATCCAATTTTCTTTTAGTGCGAAATATGTCAACTATCCAAATATATTCGAAATTTATTTTCCAGTTCAGTTTACAAACTCATAAAACCTTTTTCATTAATTCATAGTGATGTATGGGGTCTCTCTCGGGTTACTAATATCACCGGGACAAAATAGTTTGTATCTTTTGTTGATAATCACACTAAAATCACTTGAATCTTTCTCATGAAAGAAAAATCTAAAGTTGGCCAAATTTTTCAAAAATTTTACATTATGATTCAAAATCAATTTCACACTAAAATTCAAGTATTGAGATCAGACAATGGGTGTGAATACTTTGAAACCATTTTGAGACAATATTTTTCTGAACACGGTATTATTCATCAAAGTTCTTGTGTTAATACCCCACAACAAAATGGCATAGCCGAACGAAAAAATAGACACATTCTTCAAGTAGTCCGATCAATCATGTTCACTATCCATGTTTCAAAATTTCTTTAGGGGAACGGCTATTCTCACCGCTGCATACTTGATAAACTGCATACCCTCACGAACTCTTGCATGTCGAACACCGTATGATACACTTTTAAAGGCATTTCCACAATCTCATATCCTTCATACCCTTTCCTACAGAGTTTTCAGTTGTTCAGCCTATGTACATGTTCGTACTCACCTCGGGGGTAAACTTGACCCAAAGGCCATTAAATGTGTTTTTCTTGGATATTCACCAAATCAAAAATGATATAAATATTGTTATCCCAGGACCCGTCGTTTGTACAACACTATGGATGTTACTTTCTTTGAAACCCAGTCATTCTATCCCACTACTGATATTCAGGGGGGGCAGTATTAATCAAGAATATCAAGTATGGGATATAAGTACACCACCTCTCTCCTCTCTTCCCCATACTATTCCCGAGTCCTCATCAAATTTTTCTGAAACCAATATCAGAGAGTCTGAACCTGAACCTGTACCTACTACTATTAATAAAGAGTTACGTGTTTATATTAGGAGAAACAAAACTCCAGTTGATAAAAATTCTGAACCAACTACACATTGCTATAAGTGTACTCCAGTTCTTAGCAGTAAGAACACATCAGGTAATGAGCTTTTAGTCACAATTTCTGATACTGTTACTATTACAGACCATGATACTGAGTTATCTATTGCCTTGTGGAAAAGAATTCGATCTTGTACTAGACACCCTATACATGATTATGTTTCATTCAGCAATTTGTCTTCAAAGTATCATACATTTGTAAGTAAGCTTGATGGCAGCTCCACTGAACCTAAAACAATTCATGAAGCCCTTGTACTACCACAATGGGAGAGGTACTATTTAAGAAGAGATCAGGGCTTTAGAAAAGAACAAGACTTGGGAACTGACAGAACGTCCACTTGGAAAACATAAAATAGGGTGCAAATGGGTATTCACTACAAAACACAATTGTGATGGAAGTGTGAATCGGTACAAAGCTCATCTGATGGATAGAGGCTTCACTCAATCCTACGGGATAGATTATCAGGAGACATTTGTCCCAGTGGGTAAGCACAACACTATCTGGTTATTACTCTCTGAAGCTTATAATCTTGATTGGTCTCTCTGTCAACTTGATGTAAAGAATGCATTTGTTAATGAGGATTTGGAAGAAGAAGTATATATGGAAGTCCGTCCGGGTCTTGAGACCACATATGAATCTCATAAGGTGTGCAAACTCAGAAAGACACTTTATGGTCTAAAATAATCTCTAAGAGCTTGGTTTGACAGATTCACCAAAGTAGTCAAACATATGGGCTATGAGCAGTGTCAGTCTGATCATACTTTGTTTGTCAAAAATAGTGCCTCAGGTCAGAAAGTGATCCTAATTGTTTATATTGATGATATTATTTTAACAGGTGATAACATAGAGGAAATTTATAAACTCAAAATTTTTTTGCCACGGAGTTTGAGATAAAATATTTTGGAGCACTCAGGTATTTTCTGGGAGTGGAAAAAAGGGAATTATGTGTTACAACGGAAATATGTTCTTGACCTACTGAAAGAAACAAGGATGCTCGGGTGTAAACCAGCAGAAACGCATATGGAAACGAATACAAAGGTCGGTTTTAAAACCAATGACAAGCCAGTTGATAAATAAAGATATTAGAAAGTTATAGACAAACTTATTTGTCTCGTTCATACTAGACCTAACATCAGTTTTGCTGTTAGTACTGCAAGTCAATTCATGAATCAACTTACTATTGATCATATGAATATAGTATATCGGATTCTAAGATTCCTTAAGAAGACTCTCAAGACAATGACTATTTTTCCAGAAAACAATTAATAGGAATATTGAAATCTACACAGATGCAGATTGGGCGGGTTCTGTAACTGACAGAAGATCCACATCTGGGTACTGTACTTATGTTTGGGGAAAACTTAGTTACTTGGTGGAATAAGAAACAATCTGTTGTATCACGAAATAGTGCAGAAGCTGAACTTCGGTCACTTTGCTCATGGAATATTGAGAGGGGGGGTTTTGGGTTAAAAATGATTCTAATGGAAATAAAATTCCTCGGTTTACTACTCCCCATGAAAGTATGG